GGTTCCATGTTCATCCGGGGTCTTGAAAGCCCCAGGCGCTCAAAGGGAAGGCCCACGGCATCGCCGATGGCGGTACCCAGCAAGCCCAACAGATTCACCTCGCGAATCGCAACCGCGAGCGGCTGTGGACTATGGGTCAATAGGCATCCAAAATGGGACCCTGGTAAATGGACACATAGACTTAAACATGCGTTCCCCCAAGCAGCGCCCAAAACGAAACCGTGGAAGCGGCTCAAAAGGCGATGTTTCAAAAGGGAAAACGTCGTTTCACCCTGTTGGAACCAGGGCATGCCCGTTTGGCACGCGGCTTCCATAGGATCCCGTTGCAATGGAAGGTCGGTCTGCAGGTGGAAAGTTTCAGTCATCGCCGCCAACAACTGGTTGCTGCTGTGGGTTTTGAAGCGCCCGCCACATCCGGAATGTAGTCACAGCTGTTGCGAGCGGGAAACAGTGGAAAACGCACAATGACCTCCTTTCTACATCCAAACTGGCGAACCTGATTGACTGATTGGTGGGAACCTTTTGGGCAGGGCAGTGACCTCGCGCAACCCTGCAACAATGAGACACCACAACAAGCAAGAAAAAACACATATAACAACTGCTTTGTTTGCCTGCTTGCTCCCTCCCCCTGTCGCAGGCACAAAGACGTACCCACTCTGTTGAATCAGTTGTTGACCTTGTGACCTTGTGCCTGCTTGCTTGGTTGTCCCATTGCACAACTTGACCGCTTTTCCAACAGCCGCAAAAGCGGACAAGTGGCCTTTCGAGCGGATAGCCTTCGGACCCGCCGCAACGTGTCGGAAAGGGACTCTGAAGCCGGGACCCTTCAAACCGCTGCGCAGGAAAGCGGTGCTTAGCTCCGCCTGCTGGGCAATGTTCAAGCGGCTGAAGAGCCTCTGCACGTCCTGGCCGCTCGGCGCGAGCACCCTGGACAACAGCCTTGAAGGCAACCCCAAATGCAAAGCAAAAGTATAGGGTCCTTGAGTCATGAACCTGCACTGCCCTCTAGCCAAGCTCAAAAGGGCGGCTGCACCTGGTTCTGGTTGCACTACTTGCCGCAAGATCTCCAAGAAGCTTCCAACAAGACGTCAGTGTCAGGGCTAGGCTTTGCTTAGCCAGATTTGATGTGCCTTCAAGAGGAATCAACCACTGTTCTTGGCCCACAATATGTTTTAGTCTACCCCCAAAAAAAAGTAACACGTATTTCAAGGAGACCCCCCGTAGGGTTCCATACATTTTCTCCAACCCCAGCCCCCTGGGCGTAAAAAACGGACCTCCCGGTCCTGCGGCAATGTGGTGGTGAGCTTTCGAGGGCTCGAGGCTTTGGCCCCCATGGCCCAAAAAGACACGCCGGGGTCTCTTACTCTAAAGCGCACAGCCAACCATAGTCAAAGGCGCATCTCCCTAAGATCTGTGCCAACCTCCGAAATGAGGGCGAGTCTTCATTCCTCATGTTTGGGTGCGAACACTGGGAGGGTGACTCAAAACGAAAACAAAGGCCCTGCGATGACGTTTGGATGCCAAAAGACCTCGCGCTTGCAACGGTATGTAACATGTCAGCGCCAAGCTGGCTGAGCCGGCACGTCAGAGGGAGCCACGCAAATTGGAGGAAGCCACGCTTTGGCCTCTTGGCCGTGGGTCAACACCAATGGTACCATTTTGCGGTAGGTGCACCACCCAGTTTACTCTATTTTAGTTGGGATTGGGATGTTCACGGGGGGTACGGGGTTTTGACCCATAGCCACTTGAGGATAATCCACCGCTGACAAATTGCTTCAGCATGACCAAGGCTTCTTGACAATAGCAGGATCGTTGAGAGGCTTCCAAGCACCGCGCCAAAGTCATTCAAAGAACTACCAAACTCAGCAAAGATCCCTTGGCAAGCCTATCAAGTGAGAGAAGGCCAAATCTGAGGCCCGCCTGTGCACACTCAAGACTCTGTCTGTGTGTGTGTGTGATTGGGTTGTTTGCGAGCCACTTGCAGGCGGTAGCAATGTTTTACATCGATCGCGTTTGACTTCTGGTGGCGGTGGCTTCGAGTGGCGAGTTTCAACCAGTCGGGGATACGTTCTGTTTTGCTCTGGCCACCCCAAGGTGCAACAACCCGTCCACGCCACTAGTATCAAAGACGGCCTGTAGACACGTAGGTGTCGATATTAGGCCGTGGCCGTGGTGTTGTCGCATGTGTTTGCGGCTTTGCTGTTGCTATGTAGGCGGGTAAGCAGGCAGGTTGGAAGAAACGTATGCACTGGCATGTATGTTCGTATGCTGCGTTGCGTTGCGTTGTTTTGCGTGCGTGTAGATGTTGTGTGTTTGTGCGTGTGTGAATGTATGTCTCGGTGCTTTTGCATGGATTCAAAGATGCGTGAGGGCATGCAAGTATGTGTGAATGCATGCATGCACGCATGGCTGGCTAACCGGACAAATGCACACCTCTATGGAAGCATGCACGCGTGAGTGTATGTCTGCCGCCCTGCCTGCCCGCCTGCCAGCCTGTCTG